TAAACGGAATCAGTTAACTGTGTGTACTTGTATCACAAACTGTTTGTTGACAAACACTTTTAGTTCAGCATGATAGGTTTAGATAAAATGTTCAGAAGTTAGGTGGAAGTTTGTTTATTGTGTACTAGCTGTTGCCCGCGACTTCGTTTTTTTTTTATGTATTGTAAGCGATCAGCGCCGCCCATGGACACCCGCAACACCAGAAGAGTCACAGGTGCTTTGCCGGCCTTTTAAAAAGCAGTACGCTCTTTTCTTGAAGGTTTGAAGGTCGTATCGGTTCGGAAATACCACCGACGATAGATCATTCCACAGTTTTGCTGTGCGAGGCAGGAAGCTACGTGAGAACCGCACAGTTGTGGCCTCCCTACCATCTATATGATGGGGATGCATATGCTGTCCTGAGGGTCGATGGCGAAAAGTTGCGGCAGGTATCAGGTCAAACAATTCCTCAGAGCACTCCCCGTAGTATAAGCGGTAGAAAATGCACAATGAAGCTACATCTCTACGCATTGCCAAAGTATCGAGCCGGTTTGAAACATCCGGACATCCAACAATCCGAACGGCACGCCGCTGAATATCGTCCGCGTATAATATGAATTTTAGGACATAACCTTTTTTGTTGCCGTTTTCCAAAATAAAAGTAGTCTATTTCAGTCCTTAGTACATCAGCCAAATGCCAATGAAGTCTCGTTCATATCGGTATTGTAAAAAAATGTTATTTAATTATGTGTAGGTATCGTATGTATTATCGCGATCTCATGGCGGAATGGCAGCAACGACTGTCGCAACCGAGGGCTGGGCTCGCTGCCATCGCAGCGGTAAGTCCCCTCTTTGAGGAGTGGCTTGGGAGACGCTACGGCGTCCTCACCTACCGCCTGACGCAGGTCCTCACCGGACATGGGAGTTTCGGGAGGTACCTGTGTCTGATGGGGCGGGAGGAAACGCCCGGGTGTCATCACTGCGAGGACCGCCCTGAGGACACGGTGGAACACACTGTAGCGGAATGCCCTGCGTGGGCTGAGCACCGCCGTGTCCTCAGGGAAGTGATCGGCGATGGCGACCTCTCGCGTCCGGGCCTAGTGCAGGCCATGATGCGGAGCGAGGGGGATTGGGATGCCGTCACCTCCTTTTGCGAAGCAGTCATGCTAGCTAAGGAGGAGGCGGGGCGCGTGAGGCAGCGAAGCGCTGCCTCCTCGCAACCCAGCCATCGCGAAGGACACACCGGGCGGCGGGGATCGCGGGACGATCTCCCAGGAACGGGGTGGTTTTTAGTCAGTAAGAGTCTGACACTCCCTCCCGCCTCACCCAGGCGGGAGCAGTCATTCGATGATTTTATGCCCCTTAAAAAAAAAATCGTATGTATTATGCATGTAGTAAACAGTGATTATTTTAATATTACAAACAGATACTCATATTTTATTCATCTGTATAGATGCATAGATGTAGAAACTCATAGCACATTGTCACATATATCAACAGCCTATATGTGGCCACTGCTGACCAAAGGCCTGTTCTCACACGGAGATCGTTTGAACAGTAATCACCACGCTTGCTCAATGCGGGTTGGCGACTTCAAACTTATAATCAGAATCTATAAGTCCAGGTTTCCTCAAGATGTTTTCCTTCACCGTTTAAGTACGGCGTCTGCGGCGGCGTAATCATACAAAGTACATATTATAAATCATTAAAAATCATATTGGTACTTGCCATGTTTCTAAACCGCACCCTCATGCATTAGAAGAGGGTGTCCCGAACCTCCGGGCCAACACGACATGATTAAAACAGATTATCTACCTAAATATACTTACACAAACAAT